TCTCTCTCTCACACACACACACACCCACACACACACACACACACACACACACACACACACACACACACACACACACACACACACACACACACACATGCACACGTGCACACCCACACACACACCTCGTCAACAGGATGGCAAGGCATCTCGGGCCGCAATATGTAGCTGTCCTTTGCAACTTTCAGTCCAGATACAGAAATAATGACCGGGCATCTATTTGGGCGAAGATGGTGACTTGAAAATTTCTTGATTGATCTCTCCAGAAGAGGCCATAATCCCGGCCAGATACGTCCGGGAGATGTCCAAGTTTGAGCATTGTCCTCAGTGGAACGGAATGTGCATCGAGTGCTTTCCACAGCATCGTGCACAGACAGACACATTCAGACACACAAGACACGCGCCCGCACACACACACACACACACACACACACACACACACACACACATGTATACACACAGACAAAATGACCTTGACGACAGTGAAGGTGATGGCGACAATGACGTGCTCTCTCCCTCACATACACACACACACACACACACACACACACACACACTTATGACACATTTTTTTCTAAAGAAGGGGGGCACCAGTCTTCACCCAAATAGAACGGCTTGGCATTTTCTGTGCATTTGGACGGGAAGCTACCCCAAATACAGCTATAATGATGGGGCGTGGTCTTTTCGGGAAGCAAACAAAATAGTAGTAGTGGTAGTAGTAGTAGTAGTAGTAGTAGTAGTGGTAGTAGTAGTAGTAGTAGTAGTAGTAGTAGTAGTGGTAGTAGTAGTAGTAGTAGTAGTAGTAGTAGTGGTGGTGGTAGTACCGGCCCTACCGAGCAATAAAATAGAGACAAGGAAAAAAGAAAACACGGCACAACAACAACAAAAAGAGTTGCTTCATTCCACCTGCTGGCCGAGGGTCCAGACCTTTCATCAGTACAGAGGCCAGTTCCAATACCACCTCCATTTTTCCAAAGGATGGCACCGATCACTTTAAGACTCGGTGAAATGAATTTATTGGTTTGTGTGCTGGCGCTCAGTAACGGTGGTTCAAACTTTTAAATTCCATATCACTTTCTCCGTTTGTTCGTGAGCTTTTTATATTAGATACCTCCTGACTGTGAGTGTGGGAGATTTTGCTTTTCTTTAGATTTGCTCGTTTAAGAATTTCATCGTTGTTACTCTCCACGGATGCAAATAAAGATCATGGACTGCATGCTAAAAACCTGCTTCCAAGATCTCTCACTCCCTCC